AAAAAAAAAAAAAGCAAGGTCTAGGAGTGCAGTGCCCACATTGACTTTGATCTGGTGCATTTCAAGGAAATGGCTCAGGCCTGCTCTTCACCTCTATGCAGATTGCCTATTTCCTAGGGTCTCAGTTTCCCCACTGGGCATAACTCACAAGATGAAGACTGTGGACTGCATTCAACATACAAAGATTTTTTTCCTGGTCTATTATATTTTCATGCAAAAATTAAAAAGGAAAAGATGCCATATAAAAATCCAGACTTCTGGCCTTTCTTGAAAAGTTGGAGGCTCCAACAAGGTGTGACCTGCATTCCTTCTTGGCAGCCCTCAGGCGGAGTGAGGTGGCTGCCGCCTTACAGGGACATTTGCTCCCTGGGTCACTCCAGCCCCCACAACTTCCCAGCAATCCCTAACACCGAGTGGCAACTGCCGTGTGTGTCATGGGGCTGTGTGGCCTTTCTGCATCTGGTCCTCCCTCATTCCTTTGTTTTCATGCCTGCCATCTGTGGGTATTTGAGTTTATGGCCCCCTGTGTCTAGGGGCAGTAGGAGCTGGAAAGCCTGTGTTTTTGTCCCAGCTACCCCAGCCCATTGCCTCGTTCCTGTAGTAGGTGAGGACTGGGGAGGCTCACCGATGTTCCCTCCTGACCCTCCCTCCCTGCAGTGGGCCACTACCATCCTGGACATTGAGCGTTCCTTCCCTGTGTTCCTGAGGAAGGCCTTCCGTTCCGGGGAGATGGTCACTGTGGGCAAGAGCTCAGATGGCACTCCAGACCGCAGATGGTGCTTCAGGTGAGGTCAGCTGGGCAGGGCAGAACTGTCTTCGCCGGGTCAGGGGCTCTGGATGCTCCAGTTCCCCCCCATTGCAATTTCCAGAGCCACTGCGGCCACAATCGGTCCAACCAGAGTTTATCCCACTGGGTGATCTTAGGCAAGTTGGTTCACTTCTCTGAGTCTCAGTTTTTCCATCTGTGAAATGGAAAAAATAACAGTCAGTGTCTGGGCCCTTCTGTATAGATCAAAAGGGTCGGTACTCAGCCAGTGCCCGACACACACTGGGACACCAAAGGCTCCTGTGTCCCTTGCTCAGGGGGAAGCAAGGCTCCTCTGAGAGCATCACCCTCTATCGACCAAACACTGGGGGAGGCTCCAGTGCCATGGCTGAAATGGGGACACTGAGGAACCAGCAGCTTCCAGGGCTTGGGACCTTACTCAGCCCAAATGCAGAGTGACTCCAAATTCCAGATGCATGGAGAATGCCGGCTTCTTAGGGAAACCCCTTGATAATTAGTTTCTTTTGAGTTGAATCATTCTTTGTAAGTGGGTTGCCAGTATAGAGTGACAGCAGAATGTTTGGGAGTCAGGCCATGTCTTCATCTGTGACATGGGGACCATAGTAATACACACTTTGTAGGCTAGCTGGTCCGTTCTGTATAGTCTGAATCCAAAGTTCAAATCCTGTCTCTGTAAAATACCAGCTTTGAGACCCTGGAAAAACAGTTTAACAAGCCTCAGATTCCTTGTCTGTAAAATGAGAATATTAAGTGTATCCTACTTGCTAAGTCATGACATATAGTGATTGCTCAAAAAAAGAATGGCTGTATAAGAATAACAAAAAATAATTTTAAAAAGCAGAAATGATTATGGTTGGGTGTGGTGCCTCGTGCCTATAATCCCAGCACTTTGGGAGGCTGAGGTGGGAGGATTGCTTGAGGCCAGGAGTTCAAGACAAGCCTGAGCAATATAGCAAGACCCTGTCTTCATAGAAAATTTAAAAATTAGCCAGGCATGGTGGCTCACACCTGTAGTCCCAGCTACTCAAGAAGCTGAGGCAGGAAGACTGCTTGAGCCCAGGGTTTGGATGCAGTAGTGAGCTGTGATGACACCACTACACTCCCAGCCTGGGCAACAGAGCAAGACCCTGTCTCAAAAAAACAAAACAAAACAGTATGTATATTGAACCAATTTTACTTTACCAGGGTATTCCAATAATAAGAGGTAAAAGTATCAAGAAGAAAGGTGTTGGCCAGCTGTGGTGGCTTGCACCTGTAATCCCAGCATTTTGGGAGGCCAAGGTGGAGAGACCACCCTGAGCCAGATCGAGACCCCATCTCTAAAACAGCCAGGTGTTATGGCAGGTGCCTGTAGTCTCAACTACTTGGGAGGCTGAGGCAAGAGAATTGCTTGTGGGCAAGAATTTGAGGTTGCTGTGAACTATGATGCTACTGTACTCTGCCAAGGGCAACAAAGTGAGACTCTGTCTCCAAAAAAAAAAAAAAAAAAAAGGTGTCCATCAATAAAAGAAATGGATAAACAAAATGTAGCCTATGCATCCGATGGAATATTATTTGGCTGTAAAGAGGAATGAAGTTCTAATCCAGCTATGACATGGACAAACCCCGAAAATACCAAATACCATGGCAAGTGAGAGAAGCCAGATATGACAGGCCACATATTGTGTTTAAATGTCTAGAAGAGGCAAATCTATAGAAAATAGAAAGTAGTTTCAAGGTTACCAGGGCCTCGTGGAAGGCAGAGGAAGTTACTGCTTCATGGGGATAGAATTTGGGGCAACAGAAGAGTTTGGGAGCTAGATACTGGTGATAATTGCACAAATCCATGGATGTACTCAAAACCACTGAACTGTAGACTTGGAAGTGATTAACACGTCAAGTTTTGTTGTGTACATTTCATCACAATAAAAGCAATAGGCATGACATGAAGGCTATGTTAACCAGTTTAATGAAAATATTTCAAATTGTATATGAAAACACCACACTGTACCCCAGAATTGCATTAATGTACCTAGTTATCATTTAATAAAAAAAAAAAAAGAAAAGCAATAGGAGGTGGCGGCACCTGTGGCTCAAAGGAGTTGGGCGCCAGCCCCATATGCCGGAGGTGGCGGGTTCAAACCCAGCCCCAGTCAAAAACTGCAAAAAAAAAAAAAAGCAATAGGAGGAGGACGTGCTGGGCATGGTGGAGTGTGAGGCTGCTCAGGTGGGGCTAGGAGCGACTCTGTGGGGCTCCCCTGACCCTCTGCTCTGGCCCAACTAGGGTGGACGAGGTGAACTGGTCACACTGGAATCAGAACCTGGGCATTATCAACGAGGACCCTGGCAAGAGCGAGACCTACCAGTATTACGGCTTCTCGCACACTGTGGGCCGCCTCCGGAGGGGTGAGTGGAAGGATAGGTGGGAGGGTCCACCTTCTTGTGAGCTTGCTTTGAGCAGCATCTCTGGGCCTCCATGTCCACGTCTGGAGAATGGGAGGGAGGGGTGGGCCAGCCCCTGAGTCTATGAATGCCTGGGGCACCTCACTTTGGTGGCTTTGCCCTGGTCTTCCATACCCCATGACAAGAACTGACCTTGGTGGGCAGGAAGATGGGAACCTCAGCTATCCCTGAGGTTTCTCCTTCTCAGAAGCAGAAACTCCTTCTGTTTTTCCACTAAGCCACGAGTACGGAAGACACAGTGGGAGAGGATACGGGTGCTCAAGACACTGACCCAGGTCTCACTCCTAGCTCCCCTATCCACTCCTATGTGCTCCTAGGCAGGCACTTAGACCCCTCTGAGCCCTAGTTTCACCTCTGTAAACGGGGGTAATCATCTCCCCTCCCCCAGATCACTGTAGAGTGCCCAGTATACAGTCAGCACTCAATATTTGCAAACTCTACCAACCCTGCCCCCTGCCTCTGATGTGCTCTCTGTGCAGATCGCTGGTCATCGGTGGTGCCCCGTGTGGTGGAACTGAACAAGAACTCTAGCCCGGACGAGGTGGTGGTACCTCTTGACAACGTAGGGAATCCCAGCTGCGATGGCCACCAGCAGAGTTACCCCCCGAAGTGGAGGACTGATGATGCCCCCCTCTAGGGGCTGCAGGCCGGGGCCCCATCCCCTCCACCCACCCATTTCTAGTCCATCTGCATTTCAGCAGCACCTCCCGGGTATCCCCCACACCCAGCTTTGAGCCCCAGAGGTGAGGGCCAGGTGGAGATGCCCAGGGAGGCCCCAGGACCCTCTGGTCCCCAGCTCTGCCTCCACACCCTAGGGTAGGGCTCCTGGCTACCTGTCTCACTCCCATGGAGTCACATAAGCCAAAGCCAGGGCCTTTCTTCCCCCAGGGCTCAAACCCCTGTTCTTGACTCTCCATTATTTATTTACTCTGCTCTCAGGAAAGCAGCATGACCCCTGCCCGCAGCTAAAACCTGGCAGAGGCCTCGGGACACCCCCAGGTGCGCTGCCTGGCCCCGCCTCACCCCAGCTCATCCTGTGCTGCACACAGCACCCCTGTAGCAGCTTGGTGGCTTTGTTGAGAGGCCGTTGGGTGGGGCCATGCTTTCTGTGTGTTCCGTAGAGTGTCTGGGATTCCTCGGTGCTCAATAAATGTTTATTCATTGCTGGTAGAGATGTGGTGGGGACACTGGTGGGGTGGGATTATGGTGACAATTGTGGGGACGACAGCAAGGGGGTAGAGTTGGGAATACCACTGTGGGGCAGGGGTGAGAATGGGGGCAGTGGTACTGACCAGGTGGCATGTGGGGTGTTGGTTTGGGGCTGTATGGCAGTAGTTGTGATGGTGGTGGTGGCCTGAAAGATGGGGGAGATAGGCGTGACCGTGGGGAAGGCAGAGATGAAGGGAATGGGGAGGAGAGTAATGCTAGTGGGGGTAATAATGCTGGTCGGGGGATAGTTATGCTGATGCGGAGTAATAATGCTGGTGTAAGTAATAATGCTGATCAGGGAGTGTAATGTTGATGGAGAGAGTAACGCTGGTGGAGTAATAATGCAGGTGGGGGGAGTAATGCCGGTGGGGGAATAGGGATGTTGTTGGAGGACCGGTGGGGGTAATGGTGCTGGGGGAGGAAGAGCTGTGCTGGTGGGGGGAGCAAAGCTGCTGGGTGGGGGCAGAGCAGCAATGGCTGGGGGTAAGATCTAGGTGTCAGCCGTAGGTGGTAGGTGGGCATGAGGGTCTCCATCATGAGGACACTGGTGGCTGGGGAGCATTGATAGTGCTTGTGGAGCTGGGGTGGGTGTGACTCGTGGTGATGTGGGGCTGAGGATGGGCATGGCACCTCCTTGGGGACCTGTCCAGCAAAGCCTAAGGCAGACCCCTTTCTTCCTGAGCAGCACTTGCCCTGGTGCACCCCCACTGCACATCTAGCCTCTGGCACTTCCAGGCCTCCCAGCATGAGACAAGATCCCCACAGACACACTCCTCCCCCATTGCTTCCACCCAGGGCTAAGAGGTCCACAACTAGCTGAAGTTCCCCTCAGCCTTGGGTCCTGGCTCAAGCTGAGACTGATGTCCTTCTGGGACTTCGGTCAAGAAGAGCGGGGATCTCTGAGGAGACCAAGGCCAAGGGAAGCTACAGTGGACACTAGCACGGGCTTGGAGTCTGCAGGCCCAAGTTCATACCTCTGCCTGGACCCTGGCAATGGATAGTTTTGTTTGGGGTCAATGGTGGGGTCACTTTACCTTATTAGGCCTACCTCTCTCCCCCATATTGGGGGAGGAGGGACGTGAGTCTATTCAGCTTTTCCCTTGGGTTGATAAGAAGACAATGCGGGGAGCTGGATCTTTCCTTCAAGGAGGGGGTTAGGGACGAGGAGAGGACCCATTTTGCCGTGGGTGCCCTTCACAGGAGGGGATAGTGAAGGGAGAAATGAGTATATAGAGGAAGGTCCTAGAAAGCTCTGGATTTGGAATCAAGAGGGCTGTGTTCTAGCCTGAGGAACTGATCTTTGGGGTATTTGTGGGTAGGTCATAAATGCAGAGCCTCAGTTTTCCTCATCTATAAAATAGGCACAGTATTTGTGATGATCAAGTGATTCTGTGGGATTTTCAAAGAAGAGAAGATTATGGTAGTAGTATTCATACATTCATACACAGTTATGTGATTTGGGCAGCAAATAACTGAAAACTAACTGGCCAAAAGAAAAAGGATTATTAAAATTTATTTTTCAGGGAGCAGGATGTCCCAAGTTAGGGAGAACATTAAGGCGGGCCAATTCAGGGTCTCTGAGATCCGTTAAGGGCCCGGTTCTGCCTATCACTTATTTCTCCAGCACCTGTGTGTTGAATTTCAGCCATGTGCCAGACACTTGGGAAGCACTGTCCACCTGGGTGTGCTGGTGTTTTCCTCACATGAGCTTTCCTCAAGGACACAAGATGGCGCCTTTGATCCGAGCGTCACATCCAGATTTAGCCTCATCTAGAGGAAGGAGGGAAGACAGCTCTGGAGGGAGAAAGCCTTTCTCTTAAGTGCCCCAGCTGGCCTCCCTTCTGGTATTATTGGCCAGAATTATGTCACGTATCCCATGCTTCTGCCAATCAGCAGGCAGGACACAGCAACTGGCCTACAGGAGCAGATGGCAATACAGAGGAAGGAAGTGACCCTGGCCAGATCTGGATTCTGTGAGAAAAAGGATGGAAGAATGGATATTGCCCAGGCAACCAGCAGCATCTGTTACCGTCCTTTTCACAGTTGTCCATCTCACATCAACATCGTCACCAAAAACATCTCTGGTTCATTCTAAGGCTGTGAAGAGGTCACTTCTCTCTCGGGATCCATGGGATGGGGCTGCCCACAAAAGTCAAAACACCCTCCCAACTTGAAAGGACTCAATGACTTCTTGAGGTGTTTAATTATTTTTAATGACTTAATTTTGGCTACACATTTTCCTATGAGTACACTTTTAGCCATGGAGTAAACTTTTCAACTGTGATTTTTTCTGAATATCTGATGATTCAGGTAGTAAGTTATCTATGACTCAATAACTGCTTGGGGGGATTTAAAATTGTTCTCAAATCATTGAGATTTCCTGTTTGTTCCATGGCAACCTTAAAAATGACCTTTCCCTATATTCTTCAAGATGTGAGACATGCACTGGTGGTGTTCCAAAATATTTTCAGGGGACTCCATAATGTAGGATCACATAAAAAATTAAGATTCTCTTTTTAATCCTCTGTCCTTCCTGATGATGTCCAGGTCTCAGTTTACTGGCCTGTTCAGAGTCCCCACTACCTGGTGAGTGCAGATTGCAGCCCGGTGTTGGGTCCCTCCAGCGATGGCAATGCTTTACCAACACTCAGGCATCCCTGCTTTCAACAGGGAAAAGCCTTGGGCCCCGAACTTCTGGAAGGACATAGTAACTAGGAAGAACTTCAAAACATCTTAATTTCATTTCATTATTTAGAGTTGTGAGACCTATTTATGGCAAGTAATACTGGTTTTCTAGATGAAGTAGTGCTCTCAAGTGTAGTTAACAATAAATTCACTTAAGAATAAAAACCTAGATGATTTAGGAGCTATGCACATATTAAATGAATGAAAGTGCATGGCAAAACTGATGACTATGTTATAGAAATGACTGATACTTGGGAATCATTGATCTACCCCAACCCCACTTTCATGCGTGATCTCCTTTCACTACTAAGCCTACACTCCTGTACTTACATACCTCCCGTGGCAGGGGGCTCATCTCCTCTGAAGGCTGTATAAAAGCAGCATCCTTAGTTTTAGATCCGATGCCCTTCTCCACTGCCTCACCCTGTCTTCCCTTCTTCAAGCTGGAGCTCCTTGGTTCTGTTAGCTACTCCTCAGGTAATCATGGCAGCTACCATTTACAGAGTCTTTACCATGTTCTTGACACTGTCATTCAGTGGGTTGCCTGGTCTAAGTTTCTCCCTAAGATTGAGGAGGTGCAAACACCACACAGGCCACACAGCTTTTAAGTAGAAGAGGTAACATTTGAACCTGAGGCGTTGGCTCCAATACCCCAGGCTCTCATTGAATCTTCTGTGTAATCCTTGGAGGGATGGAGTGGTCTGTTCCGGGTCACACACCTGTAGTGCGGATTTGAAGCCATGTGTTGTATGACTCCAATGATGACAAGGTGTCCCCATGCCATGACTTCTTACCATCCTCTTCATCCCAGTTGCTCAGCTCTGCAGGAGATCTTCCCGTCTCTTTGGAGGGAAATACTTTTAATAAATGATAAAAATCCACCTGCATTAATTGAACCTTTTGGGTTCAATCAGTGAGTCATACTTGATCTTACTGCTTTTACATGTTACCTCATTGAAGCCCCATTGTGGTCCTATAGAGTTGGTATTCTTAATACTCCCCAATAGGCTGGATCACTCCTGTGATCCCAGCACTGTGGGGGCCTGAGGCAGGGAGATAACAAGGGTCAGGAGTGTGAGGTTGCAGCGAGCTATGGTGACAAGCCTGAACAAGAGAGAGACCCTATCTCCACGAAAGAAAAATTAGCCAAGTATGCCTTCTTTTTCTAGAAAGAAAGAAAAATTAGTCCCAGATACTAGAGAGGCTGAGGCAAGGGGGTCGCATGAGCCCAGAAGTGTGAGGTTGCAGTGAGCTACGATGATGCCACTGTACTCTATCCTGGTCTCCGAAAAAAAGAAAAAGAAAACAAAAAACTTCTCTCCAATCCCTGTATCAGTCACAGCTTTCTGGTTGCATGTGACAGAGTCCATATTGGTTCACATTATTGGAAAAGACCAGGTGTATACGGCTTCAGGCATGGCTGGATCCAGGGGTTTGGAGGAACGCATCAGGACTCAGGCTCTCCCTTATGTGCCTCTCTCTCAGCTCTGCTTTTCTTTATGGTGGCTTTGTTCTCAGGCAGGCTATCCCAATGTGTTGGGCCCTGGAAGCTACAAGCTGACATCCTTCCAACTCAGCAATCTTAGAGAAGGGAAGGTTTTGTCCCAATTGTCCCAGCAAAAAGTACCATGGCTGTCTCTCACTGGACCAAACTAGGTTATGTGTCCACATCTGAACCAATCATTGTGTCTGGGAAAAGCAGAATGCTCTCTGATTGGTGAGACCCAAGTTATTTGGCCCCCTCTAGAGCTGGGGATGGAGTTAGCTACTCCCAGATCACATGCAGTGCCCCTGAGAAAAGTTGGAATCTTGATTCCTTGTACTAGATCCAATTGTACTAGATTGTACCCCAAGTCCCCATGTCTCTTTTCCTCCATGTCTTTTGGGGTATAATTTTGTGAAGTCCTCCCACTGTGGGCAAAGCATAATTTCTCACACCTGGGCTTTTCTATGCAACTTGTTTTAACCAATGGCTGTCAGCAGACATGCCTTGGCCAGCCCCGAGAAAGAGGACAAGAGACACGTGGAGCACAGTCAAGTTTCCCCAGGGCAGAGGAACTCTACAAAGGTGTGAGAAATAAATGTTTTTGGATACCACTGATTTTTTTTTAAGTGTAGGCAGCAATAGCTGATGGATACAGACATTAGAAGAAAGAGTAAATAGAACCCAGCCAGGCCAAAAAATACTAAATGTCTATTGCCTTCCATATTATAGATGAGGAAATTGAGGTTCAGAGAGGAAAAGACT